TCAATATGGTTCATTCTTTAATGATAATAAACAATTTTAGCAAGTTTCGTCAAAATCCGTAAAGAATTGTGACTTGTAGAGTGTTTACGAGCAATTGTGGACGGACCGACGGACATGGGTGACGGCAATATACGCTCCACATTTCATGTGGGCGTATAAAAACCGGTTACTAGTAACTAGTCCCATTTTAAGTAACTGTATCGTAATAAAATAGCTTATTAGTCCAGAAGTGTCATTTTATGTAAGCTTTTTCTTTCTTCCAAATCTCATAACAAGCTACATAAAAACATAATGAAACAAAATAATCCTACCTGATTCGATGTAGAAGGGCCATACAAGACAGTTTCTTCAGGTAGCACACCTATATCATGATCTTTGTGTAAATAAGAATGAATGGTAGCCATTATTCCAGTTTCTGTGCCACAATCCATTCGTAAATAAGTTGAAATACACCTTGTTTCAACTAAATATTGCAAATACCAAGCTCCTATTAATTTTGGATCACCATTTGATGTCCATATTATGAGCCAAAGAAATTTTCTACTACAGCTATCCAAACAGCCATATATTGCTAAAGGAAAAGTCTAATTTTGAAATCCCATGAGTTTATCATGTCCATCAACAGACTGAATTAGGCCCCTTTGAAACAAAACACCCTTTGGTTCTCTTCTTTTTATTAATCACAGCACGATTTTCTAATTCATCTGGGTCTATTTCAGGCATAGCAGCATACACAAGATCTCGAGGCACCCTTAATTGATGTGTTTGTCTTAGTTTTTTATACATAGCCCTATAACCCAATAGAGCCCCTGGTCCACATATTTCTTCTAAAACGGCATCTTTCACAGTATCAGCAGATACAGTCACATCAGTGTAAAAAATTTCAAAGTGTCTTAAACGACGGTCAAGTGTTGGCATGCTCCAAGTATATTGATAAAAATCCCTTTTGAGAAAATCAATCATTTCCCTACTTTGAATACCTTGGCATACTTATTTTTTCAAGTCTACCTCAAGGACCTTATCAGTGCGCCATTCATTGTTCCTTATATATGATGACATCACTTGTCTATAACGCTTTGGATTAAGCACATAGGTATAGAATAATCAACTGTTTGCGTTACACTTCGTGATTTAAACTTAGGGCGCAGCCATTTCGTAATATTTACAATGTGAGAGTTATCTTCCTTGGAAACAAATCACCCACACCCATTGAGATAAATCGACCTGTGCGCAATGCATTGTGGTATATTGTGGTAGCTGTAGGCTCCACATAATTTTCACTTTGCTTTCTTTTTAAATTCCATGTGTCTTTTTTTTTTAAATTGATTTTGAATTCATTTTATTACAATATAAACTGTAATTGATATATAAAATTGAGTTATCTCCCTTTATAACAATATAAAATGTAATTGATTTAAAGAATCTATTATTAATATGTAAAAGAGTTATTTCCCTTTATTACACTTTAAACTGTAATTGTTATATAGAATTGAATTACCTCCATTTATTACAATATAAACATTAATTGATATATGGAGCTATCTCCAATTATTACAATAAAACTCTAAGTGATATATAAAATTGAGTTATTTCCCTTTATTACAATATAATATATAATTAATATGAAAAATTGAGTAATCTCCAATTATTACAATATAGACTGTAATTGATATAAAATTGAGTTATTTCCCATTATTACAATATAAACTTTAACTGATATATGGAGTTATCTCCAATTATTACAATTAAACTGTTATTGATATATAAAATTGAGTTATGTTCTATTATTTCGATACAAGATGTAATTGATATATAAAATTGAGTTATCACCCATTATTAAAATATAAAGTTTAACTGATAAACATAATTGAGTTATCTCCCATTATTTCAATTTAAACTGTAATTTATATATAAAATTAAGTTATCTCCCATTATTACAATATAAACTGTAATTAAATTATTAAATTGAGTTATTTCTCATTACTACAATATAAACTGTAATTGATTTAAAAATTTGAGT